GAACAGCAAGGTGAGTGCTCTTGAAAACAAGATGGAAAAACTGAAATGTCATAACAGCAGTGGATTTTGTTACATTAGTGGATTATTATCACCAATCACAAAGTCATTCACGGGGAAAGAGACAAAAATGAGAGAAGAAGGAGGAAATATTGACCAGAAAAAAGAAGGGACCCAGGGCGGATCAGGAGAGAGTAAGAAACAGATGGAGCCATGCTATGTATCGGTAAAAGACATAGAAAGAAAACCTAGGGAAACTAAAAGGAAACTACCCCTGACCAGTGAGAAGGCCCAGAAGAAACAGAAAATGTAAATGTATATTTTCACTTGAATAAAATTGAAAAATCAAAATCTGTGTGTTCTTGTCTTTCAGTAAAACCAGTTCAAACCGGTTAGGCTAGGCTGAGCTTTAGACTGTGAATGCGTGACGTCATAATCACATTCTTGAAATGTTTTTTGCACACGGCGCATTTTTTACCTGTGCAGTCAGCATAAAAACAAAAAAACGTAGTACCTACGTACCCATGTAAACAACTCCAGTATTTAAGGGGGAATAGGTTAGGGTTAGTTAGGGTTAGTTAGGGTTAGGGATAGGGGGCTAGGGGACTAGGGTTAGTTAGGGTTAGGGTTAGGGTTAGGGGTTAGGGTTAGGGTTAGGGTTAGGGGGTAGGGTTAGGGTTAGGGTTAGCACTCCACTCAGTTGACCCATTTTTGAACCTCATTTACATAAAAAGTGCACTCAGTTGAACCCCCCGGTTAGACCCGTGAACCCCCTAGCGGGACCCCTTATACTACTTATGCTTACGTCTGAAAAAATCTCGAATAGGACGTAAAATAACATACAGTCAATCAATCAATCATAGATTGTTTATTACATAATGCCATTGCGCACATCCTATTTTACTTTTTGATCTGACATTTATTTAGGGTCTCCCAGAACAAAACATGAGCTTTGCCGTTTTTAAATCATATGAGGGGTAGGGTATTATTTAGTGAACTCATTGCTCACAGTACCAGGTATGGTTAAAATTTCGCAGGGGTGTGATGCTGATCCGTATCAGCCCGACAGAGCTATTTCAGCCCTGACGTCGGGCATATTGCAAATACAAAAATCCTGTATTTATTACTAAGTGTGTTATCCATATAAAACTCCATTTAGAGGGTGTCAAATTAAACAGAATTTAGTAGAGCTTTCAGATTATTTCAAATCAACAAGTCAACAATTTATATGCGATAAACGATTTAATCCAGTTTTAAAACCTTGCTGACTACACCAGTTAAATGTATTATTCAAATTTAGCATTTATGCAGTTTAATTGTTTTCTCAGTACCAGAGTAAGCTAAGTATATCTCATTAGTAAAGATGTTTTTATATGTGTTTTAAAGGATATGTTGGAGGCTCTTTTTATCATCACACTGGGGCTGCTGTAGAGCCACTCTGTCTACCAAAGGACCCAGAGTGGGGCAGGTACTCAGATCGAACAGTAGACAACGCGAGAGGATTTGTTTACGGAGCTGAGTATGAACATACTGGGGTCTTTCGCCTTAACCTCCACAACAATGATGTGCCGTGTGCTGTATGCGAAACCCATGATCACGAGTCAGTCGTTATTATACCAGGTATGGCGGAACATATAATTGGAAGAACTCGAGCGGGGAGGGGGTTCGAAGAGATCTTGAATTAATAGTTTTGTTGAATCCCATTCAAAAGTAAAAAATAACCTGCCTTTTATAAAACTTTTTGTGGTAAAGAATTTTATTTTAACTCTCTTCTCTCCCATAACTTCTAAAAAGACAAGACTGGTTACGCGTTTGATAGGTGTTTAGAAAAGAAAGCACTTTTTGGGTGATGTAACAGCAGAAGTTAGCTTTGTACAAGGTAATATATGAAAAAAATCTTAAAATATTTTAATGGATGCAGTTTTAGCAGGAGTTATAACACTTAACTTATTACCGACACCAGCATGGAAACCAGCATGAAATTCCTCTCCAGATTCAGATCCAAATTCCGTCATTTTCCCAAAACATCTGCATTTTCAAACTTGGTTTTGAGGTTTAGATACTTTTTGGCTTTGTATGCGTCGTATATTTCTTTTCGTTAATTTTTTTTTTACATTTCTTATATTTCTTCAAAATCTCTCCTTTTTCAGTCTAAGCTACATGTAGAACTCAATTAATTATAATGAAAACAAAAAAAATATTGCAGACGATATTGTTTCAAACTTAGAAAGAAGTATCTTGATTTAAATTTACATATGATATGGGACCATTGGATTTGATATGGGACTCAATAGACAAAGAAAAAAAAGTACTTCAAATACTTAAAAAGGTTTGATTACCGCTCTCTCTCTCTCTCTCTCTCTCTCTCAAACTTTTTGCATGAAATTAAAAGATTCTTATAAAAATGTGAAGAAAATATTTAAATTTTATTTTTGCTTTTGTTTATTTGTAGCGAGAAAGTCCTGTTACGCTGGGTGGAAAAAGGAGTATTCTGGGTATTTGATGAGCGGGAAATTTGATCACAGAGCCGCCACCACCTACTCTTGTCTTGATGAAAAATCACAGCCTCTACATGGGGGGTTTGAAAACAAAGATGGCTACCTATTTTATCCGGTAGAATCTCGATGTAAACACGGCAGCTTAAGGTGTCCTCCATACTATCAAGGGAGGGAACTTACCTGTGTCGTTTGTTCTAAGGACTGAGACAGTCGCTCATTATAAAAATAAAAACATACTGCATAATTTGATATATGATATATAGCTTATTGTTCATTTCTAACTTACATGAGCCAAAAACTAAGGTGAGCCCTTCTAAACCTGTTTTGTCCGTCGTCTGTCTCTTCTTCTGATATTTTTCTTTATTTTCGAGAATCCTTTGCAGTTAATTTCAACCAAGTTTCCTTGGGAAAGATTTCAAATTTGTTCAAATTTAAGACCACGCATTCTGCCAAGTAGATGTTATTAAAAGGAAGTGAAAATGAGAGCTAAAACATTAGAAATGGGACTGGAAGCTTAAAAATATCTCTGATGGGAGATCTCCATTCCTTCATTTTTTTTTTACATACAGTTAATATTATACCATTAAACATGGAATCTGATGACTTTACATATTCCACGTGTTTTGTATTCCAAACGATGATCTGAATGATCTTGACTGTATCCCCTATTTACTCAAAAGAGTGATGCTTTTATGCTGGAGGACATTTTTGCCACAAGCTTTTCTTTATATTTCCTTCTACTCATGAATGTACTACTCTTGTATTGAAAGACAAGTAGAAAAGAGTGTCAACCAACAGGGATACAAGTTTAAACGGTTAAAATGATAAAGACAACAAACTGAAATCATCCACAAAAGTCCATTTAAAAAATACATATTCCGATCGAGCAGTGCAAACAGGGGTCTCTAAAACATGAGCGTTGAGTTCAGGTGCAATGAAGTTGTAAGCATCCCTTGTCAACAGGTCACACCGCCGTGTGACACGATCCATAAGAAAAATGAGTAGACAATTTAATGTGTAAGTAAAGGCCTCACAATAAGTGTGAAAAAGACTTCAGTCAGCATTCCATTTAATTACAGAATGTATCAATTATGGAACGAAATGATGCCTCTAAATGAGTTTGAAGATATACCTATTTCTTGTGTCCGGATTAAAATCAAACCAAGCAAATGCTATATCTTAAGCAAAAGGCCCAAAAACCAAACAGCTTACAATTTACATAAAAACATTTATCAGGAAAAAGCAAAAATCATTTCAGTTTTAAAAAGATGAAATATACTTAAATGGTCCAAAATGTTTAGTCCTAAACAATTTCAAAATCCTTAATTTAAAGACATAAGAGCAAAGCCGGTGCAAAATAAAAATTCTGAATGTGTATGAATATAAAATGGATGGAAATAACAAACTTACAGTATTCAAGATCAAAAGTCAAATAAACAATACAAAATAGGAGCATAGCAAATGTTACATTAAAGCTTTTCAATTTAAAAAATTCAAAACAATCTATAACATACTCGAGATTGTTATAGGTAGTTTTGAATTTTTTAAATTGCAAAACTTTAATGTAACACGAACACAGACCTCCAAAACTTCAGAGGTGGAATCAGGTGCCATTGAGAAGTGAGCATCCCCTGCCGACCGGTCACATCCGCCGTGTGCTCCTCGTCATGATCTGGAAATAACGGAAAATCCATCGTCAATTCAGTGTGTCAATAATGGACTAACAATGAGTATGAAAAACGTCACTCAGCATTTGACTATAATTATAATATTTGCTGACAATAACATACTATCGACCATAGAACTTACGAAATAATGTCTTTAAACGAGACTGCTGATATTCTTGTTTCATGAACTTGTCTATAGATATGAAACACAGTGGTAACGAATAATGAAGTCAGCATAGAACTTTTTCAGAAAAGACAATTAAACAAAAGTTCTTATTACCCCCTCTTTTCTTATGACAAAAAGTCACTTCTTTAGCGCTAGTAACCGAAAGCAGACGCAGGCTTTTCTTTCCTAAATAAAAACTGTAATGAACCAGTTTACTATAATTTAAACTATGAGACAAGAAAACAACAAAAGTTCAAAGCGCTAGCTTATTAAATAAAGCTCAACTTTTGCTATATTTTGTAATTTGAAATCCATGTTCACCGCAACATCCAAGTCACATAGTGTCGCAGTATATTTTCTGTCTAATTCGGGACAGGTTGAATGAAACTCTGTAACAAAACTTTCATTGCAGATCAGAGTTAACAACAACATTTCAGTTGAGGTTTGTGTCATGACTGACGAAAAATAATTCCTGAATTCATCTCAAGATTCGGGCATTTTTGCAAGTTATGAAAAGATTTATTTTATGTATTGAAAAAAAACTAGACGTATCTTCTTGTTTTGACAATTCATAAGAATTTAGGTCGTGCTGATGTTGTTATTTAATGTATTTGAGGGGAAGTAATTAGATCTTATACTTGATTTTTAAGCACGTGCTCGACTTTGAGAGGGAAAAAAATGCGTGTGTTGCTGGATATCTATGTAACTTTAGTATTTAAATCTTGATAAAAAATTTGGTTTACACGATAAAAAAAAGGAAGCCTCTCAAAACTTTTTAGATTAAGACTTCCTACACAAAATTGTGTTATTTGGATGGATTAAAATTACGGAGAAGCAGAAGTTACATTGTTTTCTATAAAGGACCATCATTTTCTGAATTAAGGGTCAACAGATATTGAGAAGTATGGAGTTAAAAGTAAGTTTTATGCTAGCTTATTTTCTTGAGCAAAAAATCGATCATCACTATGAAACATCATAAAATCATTTCCCCCATCATGACAAGGAGCACACAGCTGGTGTGACTGGTCAGCAGGGGATACTCACTCCTCCCTGACACCTAATCCCATTTCTGGCGTTTAAGAGGTCCGTATTTACTCTGCTCCTGATTGTATTGTATCATGGACTTTTGAGACGGGATACTGTTCGTTTACTCCATACGGAACTATAAACTTTTTTCATCATCTATTTTTATTTTTAGTCATTTGATCTGAAATACTTCTTATTATAATTCACAATTCTTAACTTTTAGCATCATATGACTGTAACTTGAAAGAGTTCCATTATTTGAAAAAAAATCTTTGTTTTCATTCATTCATAATGCCTTTAATGGCATATTGCATCAAATATATTTTAGAGAGCCTATTTTGCATATTTCTCTTAAGCCTTATTTTCATCTAATCCTGGTATGTTATAAATATTTTTAGATTTTTCTTATTATCTAAATGAAATGTTCATGATGTTTTTGTTGCTTTAAGATGAATATCATGGCCTCTGTTTGTGTTGTGATGATCCTGACAACGTTAATTTTTCAAACAGCAGAATGCTTTTCACCCGGGGGGCCTGTATATACTCGCTGGGGTCGTACGTACTGTCCTGAAACAGCAAGTTTAATCTATTCAGGTAAGTAATGTATTCTAACGATGCTCTGAAATAATCTTTTTAAAAGTAAAATGAGTACACACAAAATGTTTTGGTCGCCCGCGTGGCGCAGTGGTTAGAGCATCTGCTCTAGAGTCGCGAAGTTAGGAGTCAAACCTTACGTCGCGGGTTCGAATCCCATTGTGGGACGTGGGGACCGATCCTTTGGATGAGACCGTATAAACCGAGATCCCGTGTGGCAGTAGGTGCTGGCACGAAAAAGATCCCTTCCTGCTCAATGGCCCTGAGTGCCGAGTATAAGACAAAATTTGCAGCTCTCCACCGGCAAGCGGTGGCGTCTCCATATGAGTGAAAAATTCTTGAGAGGGACGTTAAACAATATTCAATCAATCACAAAATGTTTCGACACCTCTACCAATATTTATAAAATCATATAAACTTGCATGCATCACTGTTAAAAAAAAAAAAAACAAAAAAAAAAAAAAACCTTATAAATTTCAAAAACGTCAATAAGACTTTATCATGGAATCCAGGGTCATTGATTTATTAAAGAAGATTTAAACAAAAAACATTTCTTTTACCAATGTGCCACACATGACTAGCTTATTACATATGTACGAGTATATATGAAAGTAAATGCAAGCTTTGTCTGAAACTAAAATGAATTTTAGAGTTATTGTTTTTAAATTATGAACCAGATGTTATTGATTTTATTAAAAAAGCAATGTATTTATTACATATGTACGAGTATACATGAAAGTAAATGCAAGCTTTGTCTGAAACTAAAATGAATTTTAGAGTTATTGTTTTTAAATTATAAACCAGATGTTATTGATTTTATTAAAAAAGCAATGTATATTTCATAAAGTTTGAGTTGTTCTTCAATTGTTTAAAGGATATGTTGGTGGCTCTCATTATCTCCATCCCGGGGGCTGCTGTAGAACCACTCTGTCTTCCAAAAGACCCAGAGTGGGGCAGGTACTCAGCACAAGCAGATAACGTTAGAGGATTTGTTTATGGAGCTGAGTACGAGCACACTGGGGTCCTTCACCTTAATCATCTCCATGACCTTGATGTGCCGTGTGCTGTGTGCAAAACTGATGGCGAGAAGTCAGTCCTTGTTATACCAGGTATGTCGGAACAAATGATTTGAAGAAACTGAGACAAGAAGAAATTGAACTGATGTCTACAAAAATAGTTTCAATGTAATCCCCCCCCTTGAGTCCAAACTTACTTAAAAGATTAAATTATGCTTAATGCAAAATGCTCTTGAAAACGTAAAGGCCAAATCCATGTTTTTTTAATTGTACATGTTTTTATTAATTTGTAGCGAGAAAAACCTGCTATTCTGGATGGAAAAAGGAGTATTCTGGGTATCTGATGAGCGGGCGTTTTGATCATAGAGCCGCCTCAACCTACTCTTGTTTTGATGAACAATCTCAACCTCTGGACGGGGGATCAGAAAATAAGGATGGCTACCTGTTCTATCCGGTGGAGTCTCGGTGTAATCACGGCAGCTTAAGGTGTCCCCCATACAAAGAAGGGAGGGAACTTTCCTGTGTCGTTTGTTCTAAGGACTAAGACACTCACTCATTCTGAAAATAAAAGATACAGCATGTTTTGATTGGTGATTTTGTTTGGTTTTTTTTTATGTATTCCTGAGCCAATTGCTTGAGTAAACCTTTCTGAAAACGTTTTATCCGTCTCCTGTATGTATTTTCTTTCCGTCTGTAAACCTTTCAAATACTTTTTTTTTTCAAAAATCCCTAAGTTAATTTCAACCAAACTTCCCACAAAAACTTTGGATTGGGAATTCAATTTTATTTGTTCAAATGTAAGACCACACATTCTTCCAAGGGGATTTTATACATGCAGTGAAAATTAATGTTATCTTTAAAAGAACATTTTCCCAGGAACTTCTGAGCTAGAAAAAAATATTTAATTTATATAGAGGCATCTTCATTGTAATGTACTTTCATATATTTGTCACGAAGTTGTCCCAGTGGGGTAAGATGGGGGTGTTACAACGCATTATGAAAAAATACGCACTTAGAAAAAATAAATTTGGGACCAAGGTTACTCACTTTGAAAAATGATTTTATTTTCAAAATGCTTTAATATCGACAGCTTTAATTAACTAATCAAGCTCTTGTCCGAGTTTGAATTCTAGAAAAAAAATACATTTTACTAATCGCCTGTTATTAAGTACTCCCTTCTGTTGAGAGCGGGTAGCAAAGCCATTACATGTATCTATATTATTGGGAATTTTTCCAGTCCTCTCTGTAAGGACATCGGCCTTACAAGAAACGTATCATACACGATGTCTTTTTTAAATCAGGTCGACCTTTCGTAAAGAAAGTTATGCCTACATCAAATTTACACCAACCTCATTTTTACGCCGTCATTTGAATGTTTTAAATTATTGTTACAAAAAAGTCAATGAAAGTTCATTTAAGGATTCCATTTTTCTACACCTGAATATGGACTCGGATCTGTGATTATTGATTTTGCAAATATACTTTTTAAGCCGTTGATTTTTGCAAGAGAAAGACGCTCAAGCAACACAGTTCTTCATCTTTCATTTTGTCGACAAAGGATTTGATGCAGTCATGAACAGTAATATTCTTCAATTTTTTAATTACCAAAAAAATCTCCAGGGCCCAGATATCAAGCACGAGTAGCAAACAAAGACCTGCTAAAAACGTCATTGCATATAGTTACATTGTAATGAGGACCTTAAATCGCATTTTTTAAAAGATCAATATTAAGGGGTTCTCGATATTTCTACAGGCGTTTTTTTTCTTCAGAAAATTGCAGTTGACGAGTATATTACTACATAAGTAAGGGAAGTTGATGAGAGAAAAGTTTAAGTCACCACGTTTATCATAAAGTTGTTTTTTAAGGTTTAAATACCATTCACTTCTGTTTTGAACATATTTTATTGACAATATGTCAAAGGGATCGGACACAAGTTCTAACAACTTAGGTAGTCCTCTCCCATATATAAAATCTGCATAGCCATACAACATACTTTACAAAATTTTACAATAATATATACATATACATAGAAGAACAAAGATAATTTTTTTCTGAATGAGGAAATAATATCAATTACCGGGTATTAATAATGGTGATAATAAATACAGTGTTGATATTATAAAAATATAATAATTTCAATAGAGATAATACAATTTATATAGTATTAATTAAAACGACCTGATTCCTGAATAAATTTTTGAACAATTCCGAAAATTTTTTCATTTTCCTGCGAAGATAAGGAATCATCTCCCCATAGCAATTTGTGCACATTAATCATTTTTACATTATAAGTTAAAAGTAGTGCATTCATCATTAGGCGTCTAGGTTCAAAATATTTTCTACAAACAAAGAAAAAATGATGACTATCCTCTTTCATACCACAAGAACAATTTGGATTACTTATGATATTACATCTATACAGATCATTATTTAAAATACAATTGTGTCTTAATTTTGTATGTAAAATGTTCAGATACCTTTTGCCATATGAAAAATACTTGGGAGGCTTATCATTATTATTACTCAATTTTCTTTTAAAAATTCCTATTGAGGTTATTTCCCTTGTTTCGTTGCTTAGGGAATTCCATTTGCGAACAGTATCGGGGACAAATGATTTGTTGTATAATTCAAGCCTGCATTTAGGTAAAGAATAATCAAATGAATTTCGAGTATTGTAATTTGAAACAGTGTTTCTAACCATCGGTACAATGTTTTTTAAGTAATCAGGAGCTAGGTTATTGTGGATTTTAAACATTGTTAAAAGTTTTGCTTTGTCTCTTCTTATTACAAGAGGTTCCCAACCTGTTTCAATATACAACGAATTTCTTGATGCTAATACTGAAAGACCAGTCACTATTCTAGCGGCTGTCAGTTGAAGCTTTTCAAGTTTATCAATATCTGCCAGCGAACAGCCTGACCAAACTTCAGATGCATACTCAAGTTGTGGTCGAATAAAAGAAGTGTAAAGTTTGGATAACGTATCTCTAGACACTGAAAATTTAAGTTTCTTGAGAAGTCCTAGTTTTTTGTAGCCTTTACTGACAATACTATCAATATAATCTGACCAACCTAATTTAGTTGAAAAAATAACACCAAGATGTTTATGTTGAGATACATATTCTAACTGACAGTCTTCAAAAAATAATTCAGGTAACTGGTTTATATTTTTTAAGCTGAAGAATAATACCTTTGTTTTACTTGGATTAAATTTCATTAACCATTTTTTGGACCACTCATCCAGAATTTTTAAGTCATGATTTAGATGATGTTCAATGAGACGAACGTCACTCGAGCTTTTTTGTAAAGAATTATCGTCTGCAAATAGTCTGCAAACAGTTATCATGTTTTCAGCTACATCATTCACATATATCAAAAATAAAAGAGGGCCAAGGACAGAGCCCTGAGGTACCCCAGCATGCACATTTTTCACAGAAGAAAATAAATTTTTATACATAACTTTCTGTTTTCTATTGTACAAGTAACTTTCCAACCATTCTAACATATTACCGGAGATACCATACATTTTTAATTTATAAATCAAACCCCTATGCCAAACCCTATCAAAAGCTTTTGATAAATCACAAAAAACCATACAACAAAATTGCCCTTCATCAATACTTTTTACAATAGTATGATAAGTTTCTAAAAGTTGGTACACAGTTGAGTGACCAGGCAGAAAACCTGCCTGATATTTATAGAACAAATTATTTGTGTGAAAAAAATTATATACATGTTTGAATACAACTCTCTCAAATATTTTACTTACACAACTCAAAAGAGATACAGGTCTATAATTTGAAGTGACTGATGGGTCATCTTTTTTAAATAATGGAAGGACATGTGCTAGTTTCCAACTTTCAGGATAAACTTTGAGTCTAAGAGATTTATTAAATAACAGACAAAGTGGCTTAGCTATGGATTCTTTACAAGATTTTAACATTTTGTGGCTGATACAATCAGGGCCCACAGCTTTATTTACGGGCAGGATAGAAATAATATCAATAATCTCACTTTCTTGGATATTTACGTCACAAAGTTTTTCTACATTTTTGGACTCAAAATTAGGTAGCTCATATTCCTCATCTTTTATATCAGAGATGGATGTAAAAAAGTTATTTAGTAATTCAATTTCCTCTTTATCGGAAAATGCGTATATAGGATCACCATTCTCATTCACCTGTTTAATAGGGGGTATTTCGGATGAAGTTTTAGTGTGAAAGACATCTTTTAGTAATTTCCAGTACAGTTTGTTATTATTTTTGTTTGCGTCGTTTAAATGAGAATCAATGTTGTCATAGTAGTTTGCTCTGGCATATTTTTTCATATTATTTACTTTATTTCTAGCTTTCCGAAATTCTTCTTTATCTGATTCTTTCTTGGTTTTCTGTGCTTTATTTCTTAATCTATTCCGAAGTCGTAAATTTGTTCTTAGTAATGAATCCATCCATGGTTTGTCGTTTGGTCTTATTGTAACAGTTTTTTCGGGTATACATTTATGTATAATTAGCATAAATTGTTGTGTAAAGTTTGTTGTTGCGGTTTCCATATCAGTTGATTTTGAAATAATGTTTTCCCAATCAAAGTTGTTTATTAAAATATTGAGTTCTTCTATATTTGCTTCTTTATAGCTCCATACTTTACGTTTGTATGAAGAATTGTTACAGTAATTTTGTTTAACATATATGTACGTAGCTTTGTGGTCACTGATGTTTGTGTCAACCATTAATGTACCCGAATCAAATATGAATTTTTCACGACTAATAAGAATAGGGTCTATCAGAGTTTTTGTAAATTGTGTTACTCTCGTAGGTTCATTTATTACGTTTGAAAGCCCAGTCATATTCATGATATTATAAATTTCATGATTTTGATTTATTTGAAGAAAATCTACATTAAGATCCCCAAGTATTATAAAATTGTTTGACATATCACTTATTCTTTCAATGGACCATGAAAACTTTCCCCAAAAATCATTGCTCGAGTTTGGTGGACGATAAACACAGCAAATAAATAAGTTATTGTTTGGTTGTTCGATTTCGATCCAAATACTCTCTATGTTTCGTGATTCTAGATCTTCCCGTCGAGTAACTTTTAGAGAGTTAGAGACATATATCATGATTCCCCCTCCATATGAATTCCTATCCTTTCTAAAAATATTTCCAAATCCCTCTATATGAAGATCATCATTGGTTAAATTTGAATTTAAATGGGTTTCTGTAAAGCATAATATATCAAAGTCCTGTACTAAGTAAATCAACGAGTCTATTTTATTTCTGATACTTCTTATATTCAAATGTATAATATCAAGGGAATTCTCAAAAGATGGACCAGGATTAATCTCAATATCCCCAGATAAGAGTATTTTCAAAAATATGAAAATCTGAGAAAAATAATTTATGATAATTAGATATGAACCCATTTTTTCAGATGAATTCGAAATGTATTCAGTTGGTATAGAAAATAAAACAAATCAGCAATGTTGAAAATCTTGAATGAAGACCTACTCAGTATTCCTCTACATTTCATATAGAAAACCCCGATAGCGGAACGATATTGTTCTACAGTATTACCCATTATCAAAGA